AGTATTGTGAACTAAAAATACTTCGTGACCTATGTGACACGTAATGAAACCAGCCATGATATCAAAGAAGGGACGACGAAACAAGCATAAATAATCAAAAAGGAATCAGGACATCTACAAAACCTTTTCTGCGGCACAACTTTTTCTATACAAAGAGAGACTATACCGACCATCAAAGAGAAAGTAATATAAATTTTAACCATGGCATTTAATGTATTATTTACCATTTGGATTGTGTAATTGTGTAAAGAACCTGTAGCAAGTATTGTACTTCAGCTTCTGAATCAATAACCCCCATCTCCACGACGCTTTCGACCAATTTCCCTGATCCTCGAGCAAATGCTGAGATGGCCCCTTGTTTTGCCTCTGGACATAAATGTAACTTCAAATTTTTTCCCCATAGCACGTCACAGACAGTTTTTAATGGTTTTCGAAGTAAATAATTAAAGAAATTGTCATCATACCACACATTCCTCAGAAAACACATTCTGACCACCTAAGAATCACGAAATCCGAGAATAAGAAACAAAAGGTAAAAACACCAAAACTGCCGAGAAAAACTAACGTAGGAGAAATGAAATCGGCTAACAAGATAATTAATTACCAAGCAATTCATAGAGTAAAAACCACTTGAAGCCACAATGAAGGTATTAGAATAAATCTCGAGAGATGTTAGCAACCTAGGCAAAACCGTATGTCCGAACCATGGTTCGATGCAGACTGTGCCAGAGAACAAAACAACTTTACAAGATCTACACGTCGCGAAATTCACATAGAAAAAATTCCACCTGCAACGGTATGCTGCTCTCAGAATAAAATACAAACGCACCATCATGGAGAAAACATATTCCTACAATTGCAGGCACGACACGTAGCAGAAGATCGACCAACATATCTTTTCATTATCCTAAGACCACAAATATAAATGCAAATGGAGACATATGGAAAACGTTTCTCAGAGATTTAATGCCAAACATTCCTATAATGCCTTTCACTGCACCTTGCAATAGAGAAAAACCGAATTCGAGCTTCACGTTACACCAAAAGAAGTCAAGAAAGCTCTAAAAATTCGAATAAGAAGGTGCGAGGACCCGATTTAACGAATATATCAAGGAAACAATCCCCACCCGATTGAAAACTTCGGCAAAGCCTTTCAATAACATCCTGACATCGGGAAGAATCCCTGAAAGATGAAGGAAAGCAACAATAAAAGCTCTCTACACGGGGAGAGGGTGACATTTCAAACTCTAACTCCTTTAGACATCATTAGCGCACATCTTAAAAATATTCAGCAGTATCCTAGCAGACAGACTGAAATTAAAATTACACCACATTCCAGAACAACAACACGGCTTCAAAAAGTGGCTAAGAACCGTCTAACCCAACCAGGAAACTACTCGGTGAAATTGAATTGGAAATAACATGAAAGAAAGAAATAACTACGTCACAGAGACGGTTACTACCTCCATTGCAACCACCACTTTTATTCCTTTCATTGATACACGTATTTCATTGAAACATTTTTTTTATTTAATAGATTGTAAATTGTCAGTTCTTCAATAGCATTTGCCTTCTTTGAGCAGTGATCCATGTACAGTACCTGCCCGTTCGTTTTGTAGACCATGGAATTTGCAGTCATGCCGACAAATCTAGCAGACTTCAGACATATCGTGCGCACGCATCTTCCAAGTTTCGTAAGAGTACAGAAACGCTCTGTCAAATGCCAGCGTGGTATGTTAGTGGGCCTGCAACTTCGCCGCGGCTTGTGTGGATATAAAAACCTGTGACTAGAATAGTTTCTTGTGATTTACAGTCAGCAAATAACAACATTCGCTTTATGAAAACATTGTCTAGTTTATTAACGTCATTTAACTAGCATTAGGTGGAAGAGAAGTTGAAAATTGAAAGCTTACGATGACTCAAGCGTATTGATGATTTTGAGGGAAAAAAATAATGAAATTAAGAATAATAAAAAAGATCCAAAAAGGTGAGCCAATGTTCCGAAGAGAACTAAAGGGAGGGGCGATAGAACTAGACGTCATAAATGTTTCCTTACTCTGAGAAATATTTTAAGTTCACGGGCCATCAAACTGCAACAGCAGTATTCCAGTCACAAATGTTTCTCAAATATGATCCTTTTTTTCTGGTATGAAATTGAATGAGATTTACATAGTTTACCTTTTGTTTGAAAAAAGTTACACACCCACTTGTCAATATTTGACAATATTAAAGAATTTCGTTTTGTGACTGGAGTTGTAAGCAAATACAAATAAATAGAATAGAAACAATTCAGAAGGTTCTTTCAGTGAAACTGTCAAAACTGCTTAAAGCATCCCAATGGCAGCTCCAGAGGTCGAGCGTTGTTTTTCAACACCAAAGAGAATAAAAATTATTTATCAGAAATACTCTGGGGCAAGAGAAACACTATAGAGCTCTCGACATTATCAATGCACTCAATGGAAAAGGGATTTTATCACGAAATTTTCCCATTTCAAACAGAAAATCTTTGAAAAATTCGCTTGCAGTGAAAAGCAAGTCTAAAAGGAAATATTACGGTAACATTTGGCATTTTACTCGTAATTTCCCCTTTTAGCGTTTAACCCGTACATTGTGTACTTCACTTGTTCCATAAGCGTCTAATAATCCCAGCGACTTGAAAACAGTTCACCGTGATATTGACCAAAGAGTGCGATATCGTTGCCGCCTCCCCCAAACAGGAACTGCTGCTGGACATGCGTGTGTCGCGGTCAGGTGTGAGACAACAAGGGATGGGAAACGGGGCAGACGAAGAAGGCTCGCGGCGTCGTCTCTTGCAACATTCCAGAAGCCGGACGTTCCCTTCATCATTGATAGCGAGTTGTATTTGCCCGGAAAACCAGTGCACGAAAATATGTATCAAGGTGACGTTTCTTGTAGGTCACCAAAACCTGACCGAATGTCGCAGGGGGGCAATTTCCTTACTCTGTATTACAGGAGGCGGTGATATCGGAGCTTTCACAGCTGCCATATCAGACGCTTCAGTGGAGGTGTACTTTTCGGCTCGTTTGCATCCACTTCATTCTCTCGACGGATAAAGAATAGAACGAGGAGAAAAGGAAAAAGAAACAAATTGGGTAGAGTTCTACTGTACCGATGTTATGACACAGAAAAAGTGGACATAGGATAACCAAGATCTCCAACGTGACTAAGCTATTTAAAGCGTTTACATGTGTGCCCATTGTAAATTTTACATGGCGAACAGAAAATGTGTGTTTACTGTGCAGGAACCTCTCCGAGCAATACCGCATACTAAAGTATTCTTAGGGAACAAAATCTCTCGTAATTACTACTATTAAGACACTTTACTCTACATACTCGTATATGAAAAACACCTTCGTCCGCAATGGAAAAGGTGCGATAAAAGTCGCACTTCAATCATGTTTAACCGTGTAAATCTTAATAAAACTCGACCTCAAGGCGACGCAAGTTCGAACCAAAACAATGAATATTTAAACCGCCTTAAGATCAAAATCTATCATTTAGAATTCGATGATTACTTTCGGAAGCATACCTGAAAATTTGCGCAAAACCCTCACAGATGAAATCATCAAATGAATAGGATTTACAAATAGTAATGTGAAGAATACACGCGAACGCCATCTAGTACAAAACACCGAAACTAATTTCCTTTACCTTCCCGCCATTCTATTGAAATAAAATTAAAAATAAATAATCGAAATTTAAACACATACAATTTTTTTGGTTAATAAATTTCTGAATATACCGTGATCATCACAGTTTAATAAACGTACAATTATTACCAATTGGCCTCTATAAAAAATAATGATCTATTAGCATCTAAATTTATAGTACCACACACAACAATATACAATGAAGAAAAATAAGTATTAGAGGGACTAAAACAAGAATCCTAAGACAAACATTCCTTGAAATTTGAATAACCAATATTTGGAAATAAAATATGTTACAGAGGAAAATGTGTACTCAGACAGAAAATACTGAGAATGACAACTTTAAAATTTCATCAAAGAAAATGATTTAGTAACCCACATATTCCATTTTCTAAAGTTTTCACTTATTTATATTTTTAAACATGTAGAAATTGTTCAAAAAATGTAATAATCCAAAGAATTTGAATAATTATTTCCCAATTATTTCTACAAAGACCACAAACAAAAAATAATGCTATGATCATAAAATACTTAAAAATAAAATTCATAAAAAGCTGTGTAGAGTGAATTCTGTAATAAACCAAGAAAGCTGGTAACCAAACATAATCTTATATCTAAACACATACAGAAATATAACTTTTGTCACTCTTATTTGCATTTGGAAGACCATTTTCCAATAACACAAGAGAAAACAAACAAATTGAGATCATTTATTTCTTCTCTCTTGGAAAAAAAAATTGTCTTTTTTTTGTTCATCAAAAACACTCAAATTAATAAAATTGAAAGTAAAAAGTACATAAATATCAATCAATTAAAATTACAGAAGTAATTACACATTTTCATGTGATTTTTTGCTTTTTTTGCAAGACATACTTTTCATTATTCTCAGATTTGAAAGGCAAAGCCTAAACAGAAAGGCTTGACATCTTTGCAAATGAAGAGATAAGAAAATTTCTGATAGGTTCTCAAGACAAATATTTGAGAATTCAAATATTAAATATTAGCACGTGTTACAACTTTTTTTAAATATTATTTATGAATGAAACTATTGACTTACATACTACACACTTAAAAATCTACAACAGAATTGCAATAGACACATGTGATTTCAAGAGTCAGCATACTAACTACTCTGCATTCTCTATATTATTGTTTTAAAAGTATCTGTGAAATCAGGACTATCAAAAGAATCCAATGTCATACTTTGAACTTTATGCAGGCAAAGCTCTGGTTCACTAGGATTAAAAAAACAAAAACAAAACACTATCATACACATTTAGAACTGAAATCAAAACAAAAACATGTCAGCAAATTTAGAGAGTTTCTTACCTCCATTAGGACTCTTAAGCCCTCGAGATGAACGCAGGCCTCGCCTCTCCAATCTGTGCAGATTGTCAGGATTTACAACCCTTCTTCGACGCCTTAAATATCTTGCTAAGAAACCAATCACCAGAACTCCCACAGTCACTGATAGAACAGTCACCTAAAATAAAAGAGAAAATTTCCCCAAAATAAATGAATAAGTGAAATTAATTTGAATTATCAGTCGCATTTTTACTGTATGACAACGCAGAACAGACAAGAACTACTGAAACTTACTTTCTGAGGAAGAGACATGTGTAAGTTGTTTCCAGGTAACCTCAAATTCGGCATTTTTGAAAACACTGGTTTGAGTTGACTTACTAGCGACATAATACACGATTATAGAGTGTACTCGACACCTATAGCATTCACGCGCGCGGATATACGTTCATTTCACTAATGAAAACGCATTCTCCTACTGATGGCATTTTAAACTATAAACAGCTGATCGAAGTACTGCGGACAACCGCCTGTCAGTTGTTCTTCAGTGCTACATACCCCCACAACAAAATTACTCAGATTTTATTTGTATGAAAGAAAGGATACCAATCAGAGGCGTTTTTGTTGACTTAAAATTTTTTTTGCTTAATACAATTGGCGTGTTTTGCTTTGGTTTTCTTTAGAATAAGGAAGAATGGTTGTGAATATTCGAAGCATCATAATCTGCTACATTTCTCTGACATATTGTCTTCGATGAACAAGACAGCTCTCACTGTGCATGTGCGTGTGTACAAAAATGGAGGTGTAAGAAGAGTTGATCGGATGAAGTTATATTGTTTGATGATTTCTAACTGAGAGATGACCTACAATATGTCTTCACATCCGCCCACTGTTTCTCTTAGTAGATATGAAAGTGTCATAGATGATTTGCCTGATGAAGTATTGGAATATATATTGAGTTTAGTGCCTCCGTATAAAGATCTTCATCATTGCTCGCTTGTATGTAAACGTTGGCAAAGAAGTGTAAAAAGTAAGTTATGAATGATGTTGAAATTGATTATGTTGAACATCGAAATTGTGGTTAAATGAATACCATTCAGAATATGAGTCATATTTTGTCAGATTCATTTGAAATTTTTAATGTCTTCCTCTTCTAATTTAGATGTTATAAGGCATACCCAGAAGAATTTACTGCGTGCCATTGCGGAATTTAATATTATGTGGAAAGATGTTACCCCTGTTGAGATGACCCCTACTATAACCAAGAGATATTCACATTCAGCATGTCGTTATGGTGGGAATATTGTAGCAATTTGCATGTGTGTCCCATATTTATTAAAGGAACTTTTTAACAATCTACCATTTACTGTTTCTATTCCGGCAGGTAATTCAATGTATGTGTTTGGTGGCTGTACGTCTACAAGTACTACTTTCAATGATCTTTGGCGTCTTGATTTGAACAAAAGGCAGTGGGAAAGGCCTCTAACAATGGGGACATACCCATCTCCAAAAGCATGTGCTTCAGTAGTTTGTTACAAAGATGCTCTTGTTTTGTTTGGAGGATGGACCCATCCATCACCTTATCCTCTTCATCAGGTAAATATTGTTAATCAGACCATATTTATTGCTTAGTGCTTCAGCGATAGAAATTCATTTTATTTTCATCAACATCGGATTTCTTTCTATCAATTCTTATTAATTTTGTATTGTCGTACTTTCATTTTACAAATTCTTACTATATCCATTTTTTTTTTTTGAATTGCCATTCATTTGGTGTTATAAAACATTGTGTATTTAATTTGCAGTCATGGAGACTTTTCAATGAGTTGCATATGTATAGCATTGTATCAAAACGTTGGACGTCTATTCACACTACCACTTTGCCTCCTGCCATGGCAGGTCACTCTTCCACAATTCATGGTGAAAACATGGTAGTTTTTGGAGGATTGCAGAAGACAACTTACATGGGCCAGTACGGCAGGTGCATAACATCTATCATCTCAGGGGAATTCACGTTATGTATAATTTATACTTCGTAATTAGATTTAATAGTTGAAAGTAATGGAATATATTTTCTTTCTTAGGAGTGTTTTTTGAATGATTGTATGTATTATGTTCTAAAGTCATCCTGGGTTTGTTGTGCATTGAACCCCTTATCTACTCGTATTAATAAAAGAATGTGATGGATACAGGAGCCACTAGTGCTAATGTGGCTCTACAATCAAGACATTTTTTGTTGTATATATATTACAATTTATCCAAATATTTGTGAAGTGTGTTTTTGAGAAAAAATTGGGGCTTCAGAATATTTAAAAGTTAATGTTTCTAATATCCATGATATTCATTTGTTAGTATGAGGGTAGAGTTAGTATGTATATCAGATTAGTTTCACGTGACAAGTTATAATGAATTATTCAATTTGAATTGTTGGAATACATGACTAATTTTTTGGGTAATGTTTTCACTTAGCATTGAATTAGTGCATTTGTCATTTAGTTCTAATGATATATGGGTCTTCAATCTCGAAAATCACGTCTGGAACAAACAAGCCACTACCGACAACAAGCCTCATCCACGATATGGGCAGTCTCAAATAGCACTTGATGATAACCATATTCTTATTCTGGGTAGGTCTTTTTCATTCTTTTTTTTCTCCTTTTTCATTCCAGTTTTCTTTTTTTTCACTACTTAAGTATTTGTGAATAAAATTCTTGTGCTAAATAGGAGGATGTGGTGGCCCAAACATGGTGTTCAGTGATGTCTGGCTTCTAACAATGACTGATCGTGTGTGGGTATGGCAAGAAGTCACAGTACACAACACACATTGTGCACCCACTCATATGTGGTGTCATCCGGCATGCAAGGTAATAAAAAAACCAGCTTTCAATCAACTGAAATATTTATGATCATTTTGTTCAGAAGTATCATTTCATTGTTTTAAAGAAATTGAAGAGGTCGGCTTACCAGTTGTAGTTCAGCAAACAAGTATGTGCACCTTCATGACATATTGCATTTCATACTACATCACAGTATATACTTTATAATAATCCCAAAATAACTCTTTCATTAAGTAAATAAAAGGTGTTGTCCAGTATGTAAAGTATATTTGAACTTACTATCTTTTCGATAGTTTAGCTATCATCAGAGCTATCTGAAAAAATTACAGGAATACATATATATGAATTATCCTATACAAAAAATGTAACATAGCACGAGGAAAACCAATTTGCTTACATATCTGACTTCCTCGTGCTATTTGTATATAATTTTTGTAAATTGTATTCCTGTAATTTTTCAGTTAGCTTTGATAATGATAGCTATGCTATCGAAAAGATCTTAATTTCAAATATACTTTTGATACTGGACAGCACCTTTTATGTACTTAATTATTGGAAGGTACTCTCACCAGCAATCGTATTAATAACTCTCAGTTAAGAGAAATATTTTCACTGTGCTTCTCTGTTTGTTTTATGTAGATTGGTCAGCATGTGGTTGTATTTAGTCGCAATCCTGTCTCCAATGCCCCAGCATTGCCATTTAAACCAAGCTGGTCAATGCGGCCCCTTCTTCCTACTGGGCCTAGGGAAGATGATTCATTAATGAATGAAAGAAGGTAGTAAATATATTAAAATTATAAATACTCCCAAAACTGAGAGTTCCATGGTCTTATTCTGAAATGAATTATCCCACTCTTTACGATTAAGGTTTAACACATTACAGTTAAGGAATGATTGAAAGGAGTAAAGAAATAAAATAAAAGTGAAAACTGACTTCTTGAATTTGATGAAAATACAGTTTCTCTTAGAATATTTTGCTTCATACTTGTTAGGTATTTAGTTAAAACTAGTCCATGAAAAAATTTTTTGTTCATATATTATTAAAATACTGGCTTTTACAGAGCATATCTATCGGAATGCCGTCGTGGTGACAGAGATCCAAATGTAAATGGCCGTCGCGGTGTATTGGTGCCACGTAATCTTCAGTCTTCATCTGTGCCATCTACTAGTTCAAGCAGTGGTGATGAAAGTGAGACAGAATCGAGTGGACAGACACCTCCTAACAAGAGAATTTCCACGCAGTGCAGCAAATCTCCTGAACCTCCTCCCCCTTCACCTTCCTCGTCCTCCTCCACTAGCAGCCCGGCCTCCCAGTCACCATCTGTTTCTCCAAAGCCCTACGTAAATGTGGCATACAACGATATGGAAACAAATGATCCTGTGACTTCTAGTGGCATTGGTGGAATGGCAGCTTTCAGAGACATTGTGCCTTTTTCGCGGGCAAATTGCAGCAGAAATCGCCAGAGACAACTGGAGTCCATTCGAAAAATGGAAGAGAGACTGAAATCCTTATCTCGTAGTGCCAATGGAAGTGCAACTCCAAGCTGTAATGCTACAGCAAGTACAAGCACAAGCTCAAGTTCACCGTCCAATACTGGTTCTGCCTCAACTTCTGGGAGCAGTGGTGGATCAAGTTCTAACAACAGTAGTTCTGATTCTCCTACAAAATCAGAACCGTGCAATGCCACTCCTCGACCTTCTGTTTCACCTTCACCGTCCAGTCCAGTTCACAAATCCCATATACCTAAGAATGCCATGACCATGTTTGTATTAAATATTTCCAACGTTCTTACAGAAGACTGTTCAGTAGAGTGGCTTCCCATGAAGAACGAAAATATTGCCCCTAATGGTCCTGAAGAAATGATTTTGTATTCACTCATTGCTGGCAAGGGTGAACTCATCATGTTTGGTGGGATTCAAAAAGACGCCACATTAATCACGGCCCAGTCTCAAATTTGTTCAAATGTTGCTAGTACTGTGTGTAATTCACTGTATTTCATTTCTGCACCCAAAGGCATTATTTAAAGTTTGATGTATTACAAATGTCTTTTTCAAACTTCAAAATCAGATTTTTGGGCAGTTAAAAAGTTCTAATCATTTTGCTTTATGATCTCATATTACTTAGTGTGAAAGAAAAAAAAAAAATGATTCTAGCAAACTGTTTATTGTTGGACAATTCACTATCTACATCCAGTGTGTGTACATATTATGTGTAAATAAAAATATACAACAAAATTTATATTGTATTTTGATATTCGGCATGCCTCATTTATAATGAAGAAAAATGATCTTCAGTCATCGCTATCAGATTCGTTTCTTTTCTTTAAACTACCAAATACTTCAGCAGGGACTTCTTGTTGTTCTGGAATGTCTGAAAATAAGAACCACATAATATTCAACTTGCATACAATACATCTGAGTTGCATATAACAAATCACAGGGTTCAATAATTTTCAAAATTGTAAATACACACAAAAAAATTGAATGATTACCATCTCATAGTAATTTTTTTCACTTTCAGTTAAATGAAAATTCTCATTGCTCTTTGTTACTTATGAATTTGATTCTGATAAACTTAATTAATCCAATAACAAGTAGTATACAGTATTTTACAATTAGGTTTTGGAGAGAATCGCCCGCTTGCATCCTGCAGTCTTCCCTCGCACCTGCTACACAAGTAATCTTTCACTTTTGACTATCCAAACGGGCATAGCCCGATTGCATCCGAGCCAGTGGTTTGGTGTGGGGGAAGGAGGAAACAGCTCAGTACCACACACAAATGTTCTCATATCAGTCAGAGAAAACTTCCAACATAGGTAAACATGGCAGATAAAATAATTTTAATTCTTCACATTTAACCACAAGACCATGGCTCCCATTTCCTTCCACCTCAGAGCAGCCCAGTACATGTAGAAATTAGTTTCAAGAAATGAAGAATGTTCATTACAGTTGAATTTTAAAATAACAAGCTTTCCTTTGATCTGTGTGGCCATTAAAACACATGATTAATACAAAATTAATAACTTTAAAAGCAGCATTTGTCCTACATCCCTTCATATTCTTCAAATATGAAAGCAAAATGACACTCTTCCCAGCACTGAAACCTATGGTAAGCTTGTCCTTTTACTCAAAAGAAAAACAAAACAGGATGCAATCAGGCTCTGCCTTTTCAGAGAGGTATGTAGTATTACAAAAGTTGAGTTGTGGGAAGCAATTGGGGTTGGTCCAGTTTTGAAATGCTCACACACGTATGGGCATGTTGAATTATCTCTAGATACTATATATAATTGTCATTACGCTCGAAGAATATATTTCGCAGCCGTAAAGCAATCCGAATTGTGTCAATGCTACTGAGTAAATGCATTTTAATAATTAAATTTGTTCAAAGAATTGGTTGCCCCAGTTGGGTACATATAGGTACTCTTCAATAATTTAAAATACACTATAACTAAAGGTCTGCTCCTTGAAAAACATTGTTGAGAAACACCAAGGGTCACTTTAAGAACCCGAAGCCATAACACAACTCATGAAATTAAGATCTTTTCTAAAACAACCAGAATAGTTTTATTTGGTTCCAGCACAATATTTCATGAAAGAATACCAGTTTCATTTTCACTACGAAATATTTCAGTTTGATATCTTGAAATAAACAAGACAACAAAGAAAATTGAATATTTTAATTTAATCATCTCAGAACTACAAAAATGTAACATCTTCATAAATATTGAAATCCACACATAACTAACAATTGATAATCCTAAAAGTGGAAATTTATATTTGATAGTTATCCTCATGAAATCAAACCTGCATAAGAGTCCAACTAATCACCAAGACAAATAAAATTTGAGCAATGAAAAATCATGTATTGCAGAAATAAAAATAATTAACTGAAACCTAATTACTAAAACTTGGTCATGCTGTTCCTAAAGATGGGAGAATACTACTAAAGTATAACACAAAAAATGTAACTCTTGTTAAATCAAATTAGAATTTAAAATTTCAAAATATAAATAAAGGACATATAGATATCAATACTACGTTCATTAGTTTCAAGTTCATAAATGTATCCCTCCTTTTCTTCGAAAAGCCTGCATGAACTGCTGTAGAATAGCTGCTGCTGAATAGTTGTGTGAGTGACTTTTAATATTGAACTACTTTTCAAACTAATGGAAAGGAATTTTTTTTTATACTGTTATACTCCTTCATCTTCACACATACTACTTCATAATTCTCAATTTGAAATTGTATCTAAACAGTTTCAAACTACAAACAATAGTTATTTACGATACGAGTGAGAAAAGTGACATTTTAGTTTCCGATTAGGAAACATTGTGACACAACACCAAGTGATGCAAGCGTACAAGCAAAATAAAATCACTTACCACATGTGTCTTATACTATTTTTTTTAATTAGCCTTACTGTCTCTTCTGTTATTTTAATTAAAGTATATTATTGGGTACGATAGAAGTTACATTAAGATCGACTGATGTGGGCAAATGGAAATATTTTTTCTTTGTTGCATCCACTTTAACTGAACATTTGAGAATAATCTCACTTTTAGCTCGTGCTAGAAAAGAAACTTTCAGCACACTGTTCATGCCCAAAAAGTAACTGTTTAACTTGTGGCTGGCTAGTTTTTAGCTAGTAAATAGATATTTACATAACAAGGGATTTGAATAGCTTTATTCACCAAGGAGAAAGGTTATGTTCCAAGCTTCATAGCTTTATTTTTAAATAATTTTTATTTAAATTATTTTATTTAAATTTAAAAGCTCTTCCACACTTATGTAGAGAACAACACATTTGCTAAAGGCTATGACTATGGATAGATTTCAAAGTACATGAGAATGGGCGATTGGTATTATTGCTACTAAAATATGATACTCCGCACATGTGATGGTCTACACAGAATTTGGGAAAGATTTTATCTGTACCAGCAGAAATTTTAAAAGGTCATACAATGAAAATTACTGCTGAAAAGTCAAAAAATATATAAAGAACTTAAAACTTCTAAAAACTGAGTGTTGAAAGCCACAGTACAAGAAATAGAGAAGTTAAAGAAAATTTATGAATCTATGTACACAGGCATATGCATATTTATTTTAGGTAACGTTGTTGGCAATGCCTGGATACTGTTGCTAGGACATAATCCTCCTCTTGGGAATAAACAAATTGGCAGAAGTGTTACATCTGAGTTCTAATACATGACATATGTAAGGAATAAAAAAACAGCAAAAAGAAGAGTGGTAGAACCACTTTTACCTCTAAAAACAAAGTCTATAAAAAAGTATAATAATATCAAATAAAATAAATATATAAAATTAATATTGGTAAAAAACATGCCTCCTCCCTTCCTTCCTCATGCATTCATTCATTCATTCATTTATTTGTACATTCACTCATTATTATCAATCATAATTGTTAAATAAGGTTTAAAGAACACAAAAATAAGAACAATTAATTACCTTCATCATTATTATCACCATCATTTTCTCCCTCTTCTTCCTCCTCCTCCTCATCATCTTCCTCATCAATGTTAATTTCATCAGGGTTAACAACCCTAGTTGTATCTGTGCCATCTCTATCCTGACCTTGAGTTTCACCCCGCACAAACAAAATACTTCCTCCTTTAGGTTGAGGAGCTGCAACAACAAAAACAAACACACAATAAATATAAATTTATATAAGAGGCATGCAGAAAATTAAGTATAGGTTTGGCTTACGTCCTCTTTCTTCATGAGCCATTTGGGCTGCTTTGGCTTCTAGCATTCGCATTCCATCCTTTGCACCAGGAGCAAGATCAGCAACAGTGCCAGAAACGTTACTCGCTGCTGATAGCATCTGAGCTGACATCATGTTCACCTAAATGAGATAACAAGCAGCACATGAATACAGACATTCATGGAAAATAAGAATAATAAATAATACATAATGGAGAGGGTTAGTATATTCACCAAACCATTAAAAAACAAAATTAATACTTGATAATCTTATCTAAAGTTATAGCCTAGAGATGTGGTCTTTAGTTTATTAACGTATGTCAACACTAAACTTAATTACAGTACATTCTTTTAATTAAACCACAATAGACAGAGCTAGAACATCCAAATAAGGAGAGCACACTAGGGAGAAGAATGGCAGATATAATTCTAGAGCCTAATTTTTTCAATTGGAAATTTTACAATTTTCTTGAAACTAATTGACAAAGATGTGACATTTTATAATATTTCTAGAACATTCCCAACTAAGTCTAGTTTTTTTTTTTGTTTTTTTTTTTCACAGGACTAACGCAGCTCTTGACTTAAAAACTGAATAACTGTGCACTAGTAACAAAATCCATCACAGGGGCAAGTGACTATCACTAACCTGTGTGTTATAAGTAGCCTGAACACTGCGCTTTATCCTCAACATTTCTCTCATTGTATCTTCATTACCATGTCTGACTTCAAATTCCTTCCAAGTTTGCCAGAAATCTGCAGTTACCTAGAAATACCAATGCAATTATTACAACAATGAAATAAAAAAACAGTAAGTCTACATATATGATAAAATAACAATAGTACTGTAAAATACATTAGTAAAACAATTTTACTTACTCTTGGATCACACATTTGACTGCAATGTGCATAAATTGCACGAGCTCTGTCAATTTCTCCTAATTTAGTTTCCATTTCAGAAAACCTCAAACACATTTCTCTAGCATTTTCTTCATTCAGAACTTCAATTGCTTTCTCATAAATCTGTCGAGTCTTTGGTACACCATAAATTTCAGCAGCTTTTTTAATGTAGATATTGAATAACTGAAAATGAATGTTGTAAGTAAATAAACAGCAAATATAAAGTGATTAATGTATCATCAAATTTTATTACAGGCCTTACCTCAAACATTTCTTCTGGTAACACAGCCTTTGTTGCTCTCTCATATACTGCCATAGCATGTCTAGCCATACCATGTTCTTCTTCCAGTTTAGCATACAGGAGGTATAGGGCTGCAGCACAAAGATGCATTGTAAAGAACAAGTCATAAAAAAAAAAAAAAAAAAAAAAAAGTTAAAATCATTTCATGAAATTTGGTTGATGCCCAATTACATGTTCTTTCAACCTTGCAATTAAAATGAGGTATAAGAAACTTTTTGTAAATACCTTTTGCAAACTTAGGTGGGCAGTTTTCAAGACATTGTTCAAATAAGTCACGTGCTCTTTCTAATTTAGTTCCACCATAACGTTTCAAAAATTTTGTGAGATAAGTGTTCCATATATCATACACATTTGGCCATTTGAATAGTGCAATACCTTTTTCATACGCCTAGAAGAAAACATACCATTTTAATAAAATAACGAAGTTAGGAAGTATGATTAATGTAATGTTCAATACATTAAATAAAATGTAATTTTAAGAATAAACTTACTCGAAATGCTTCTTCAAAATATTTATGTTCTTCCAAAAACAGACCATAATTGATAATAATTTGAGGAGTGGCTATTTTCAAATCAATTATTCTATCATAAACCGCTTTACATGACTAAAAAATAAGCAATATTTTAAAATCACGTTCTCAAGGCATTACAGACAATTTACATTCAAAAATATACTAATAATTTTCTTCTCTTACTCACTTTAAAGGTTCCAAAACTTTCTTCAAGATCTGCATACATTGACCAAACTTTCAGAGATTTATAAAGACGCATTTGTACAGTTTCAGTTTCATCATGATATGCAACTTTCCGAGGAGGCATTACAGTTGCCTTCTGCATTAATTTCAACGCTTCTTCATAATTCCTGCACGAAGAAAGATATGTACAACATGATTCATGTTTCATTAATAGTTATTTATCTACCTGGTCCCCTAAGTGAATATTTAAGGAGAAGGCTGGCTTGGTAAGATTAACTATGAGGTATAGTAACAGATAAGTTAACTGAGTCCTTGAAGCCTCTTAGAGAATGAGAACTAAAGTCCACAGAACTAATCCAAATAAAGTGGAAAACTATATTTTCATGTTGTTCTAAAGAAAGCAGAAGCTGCAAGTTGTACTATGATGCCTCCACATCTAGTACTAAAGAGAAACATAATGATTTTATATAACATGATTTATAAATCAAGTGATCTGTAACATTAACTGATAACTGAACAAGAAATCTGTGACAATAACTGATAATTGTGTATGTTAAAAATAAAGAAAAATATTGATTTGCCCACATAAATTACATATTTTTCATATTGTTTTAATTATTAACATAAAAGCATCATTTAAAAAATTGTAATTGTAATATCTGAAATTCAAAACAAGATTTGATATAAATTATATTCTGTCTTATTCAGGAGGAAACAGTTCTTAGCAACAAGTAATCAATTTTTCTATTTTCATGTCTTCTGCAGTATTTTAATGTCTGTGCACTTGACTCACTGTTTAGAATGTTCATTGCTGTGAACCTAACATGTGTTTATGCAAAAGAATAAAATATAGTTAATAAATATGATAAGCTTTTACAAAAAAAAAATTCCTTTTGCTTACTCATGTCTTATTTCCATCTCGGCCCACTCACACCAAACAGATGCTAAGTCATCAACTTTATTATACGGCACGTGAGTAGCATTTTCCAACACTATTCGAGCATCATCTATCTGGTCATTTTCTTCATAAAATTTTGCAAATGCAACCCATAAAGAATGTAACTTTCCAACTGCCAGTTTTGGGTCAACAGTTTGCACAGCTTCTGTGTATGTATTGATAATCTGCAACAATATTAATGTTGTTAGTATGTAGTTACACACTGAGTACTTACATATTTAAAAAAGTAAAAATATGACAATGACTACAGTGAATCACTGCACTCGATTGTTCATTAGATTAGAGAATGAATTTTATGAAGACCTTGAAACAATTCCCGAATGACATCCAAGAAAGATAAATTATTATATGCAGTAACAATTCACATATTTAAGTGTTCTATTTGCTGACAATTTTCTTAGACAAGCTTGTTGCACGCTGAGTATGTATATGTTTAGCGATTTTCATTTATTAATGTTTCAATTCCAATGGACCCAATACTAATAACATCAAAAATTCAGAGAAGTTTACAAAAAGAACCACAGTTTATAATTCTACTTTTTAAAAATATGCACCTGTTAAGTGGAATCAGCACTTGAAACTTATCTCCAGTGAGCAAAGTTTGTGACACATGGCCACAACAGCTCTTTCTTGCAGAATAGTTGCACAAGTGCTGTGATGATCTGTGGACACTGATTGTCAATAAATGTCTCTAAGTGGAAAGCAAATCACTACTATAAAATTTGGGCCAGATAAAAACTATATCACCTTTCATTTTAATGAAACTTTAACTTCCTTCTTTATACACATATAGTTGGTGTGTGTGTGTGTCATATTAGTCACGTATATATACTAGTCACATTACAAGAATTCAGAAAATTAATTTCCATGACTTTTTCCAGTTTTCCAATACAAATATATTTCATTATCAAATAATGTTAAAATATCAATGGATATAGAAGAGTGATTTGTAAGAAGCATAAAAAAAGTCTTCCTCTTCCATGCGTTATGTTTCAAATAGATTCCAAAATTCAATCTTCTTATGAAAACAACACAATCCAGGAAGAATTGCTTCTGTCAAACAAACTGGGAACTACAAAGGGAAAGCCTGTCATAAAATCATATCCAATTATTTCAAGAAACGTGAATTCAATCTTACTTGATTTTGTACAAATAGTGTTCCTGGCATTTTGTGATTAGTCATGCTTAGTCAAATTGGTGAAAGAGAAGACTTTCGCTATTTTACCTATTTATTGTTAAATCACTCATATTCAAGCATTGATGTCAAAAATCTAGTCAGCTATCTTATACATTACTTTAAACGCTCTCACCAACAAAGTCAATTTTGTTATGTTTAGTGCTCTGAATAGATGTATTTAAAAAAAAGAATTGAAAGACAAAATAAATGAAAAAGAAATGACATATTTGCTTGAGACAAAATTTGACATTCAACATGCCTATTTATTGGATATGTTTGTCAATTTCAATCAACTGAAATTGCAATGATGAGGGAACTGGAATTCAAAAACTAAAAGATATGGAAAATAATTTATTATTAAGAAATTAACTGTAGTAATTCCTGTGCTAATTGGATCTCTAGTTAAATAAATTGTATGAATATAATTATTCTAATTTTACTGCACTTAAAACTCTTGTTCATCTGCAAATACTGTGAGGAATATATTGATGCTTCATGCAATTTTATTTCACTTACATAATATACACTTAATATTATTATATATTGTTCAAAATTTTAGGTTTTCTTTTTATATTAATGGATTTTTATTACAGAATTTCTTTCCTTTCAAAAGATTGCATGAAAACTTTTCCCACAAAACCAACCATTATAATTTTGCTTTGTAAGGTCACTTTTGTACTAAGGTGTTTTAATCAATTGCAAAGAAATTTTAAAAGAGGTTCAAGGGTAAATTTGAAGTGGCCTGCAAGATTAGGAAAGAGTCTTTAAAAATTTAGTTTCACACAGATGGTCATAGCTCACAGTAGACAAATCTTGTAATGGTCAATTACATCAGTAAGCCTGAGAACAATAGAGTACATTGCACTTTTCAGAATGATTTACATCTGACTTATATCCAACATTATTTGACAACAAAATTTCGAAAGCAATTTTCTCCCAAAGGTATTTTTGAGCACCTGCTCTTTTCCATTTACTACTTAAATAATGAGAATTTCATTTCTTTTTGTTACTCTGGAGATAATTTATGCATATAAATTTAAAAAATCCCTATCATTTCCGTCTCTTGGTGAATAATTTCCTTTCTCTTCAAGTCTGTTCAGTTTCCCAAGACTGTGAACTTTCTGATAAGGCATTACTTACGAACACTGGTTAAAATATACTTAGTGCACCAATATAGCACATACTTCCTCATAGAACATGTAACGTTCAATAAAATTGAAAAGCGTTCTGTACAGAATTCCTTCTTTCAATTTTATACTTTGTGAAGCCGAGCACACAATGCGTACACAAATCCTCATATTCTGTTGACTAATTTCATAAGGCACATTAAATTTACTACTGCATACAGAACCAGCTAATTGAAGATTAATCTATATTTACTATATCTGGGGACTTTTCTTATTTAAATATGCCAGCCCTCATAAAATAATTAATAAATTGACTATTTTCTTACAAAAATACACATTCAACAGCAAATGTGAAACTACAATAGCAAGGGAATATGTTAATAAATAATGGGTCCATTTTGGATTAAAAAATATTGATATTAAACAAATTATATTTGATTTAAATGAACAATATTTTTCTAATAATTTTTTGACAGTAACTTGTGCAATATCACAGAAAAGTGTGTGTTCAGGTAAATGGAAACAAAGTGAAAAATTTGAGCAAATTAAAAAAATAAATTTATGTTCCAACGAAAGGTGCCAATTTTGTTCAATTATAATGCAAAACCATTAACATTTCCCAAATTTTCATCAGAGATTATTTAAAGATTTTGTGCTGACAAAAAAATCATTAAACAATGAAGTATATTTCTAATTTCAATATGAGGAAGCATAAGATGTTTTCAAAAATATTTAATTTTCTAAATTCACGTTAGATAAAATGGGAGCTTTATGTTCTTAATAAAGATGTTCATCTCTTCATCAACACATTTTGAGTTACGTCTTCCACTACACACATAAACCTCTTAAAATTTTAGAAGCATTTTTGAACATGTAAAATAATCTTTTAGAATTCTATTCAGGGCTTGAAAATCTTGTAAGCTGCTACCCATTCCAGCCTATGTGGAAAATTGAAATTACATTTTACAATTTTATTAATTTTCTAAAGTCTGAAGCACTGTTTGTAGTACCAATAATCTTTTGTTTACAATAGATGTATTTATAAAACATGCAACAACAATTGAGTCTTTGGTTTCATTACTTTAATGATGATGATAATAATAATAATAATAATAATAATAATAATAATAATAATAATAATAATAATAATGACGATAACAACAACAATGGAGATGATAAGATTATTACACTTTGAAGGTCAATAACAAGTATTCTTCCAAACACTAAAAAGTAAAAAGAAGTTTTGGAGAAAGTTTCATGAAAATCAGAGGTCAAATACTTCTTATTCAGGAAAACTGAAATTTGTTAATTTAAATATATCGTAAAAGAACGAAAGTTTGGGATAAAGAAATGTGCATCAATTTCATGAAAACAACACCATCTAACAGTGGTAAAGTGTGATGCAATTAAAGAATCACACTCTTAGACACTCATTAGGCTGAATTGTTTTATTAAAACTTACCAAAATGCAAATATTTCCAATTCATTAAATTATGAAAAAATATAATTTGAGTGATTGAAGCTCTTCTTACCTCATGTGGTTTCCCTTCATAGAGTTTTACTCTCTTGTGCCATTCATGGACATTATGGGGGTTCTGTCTCAGAAGTACAGAATTCAGTAACAATAATCTTCTTTCCATCAGATGTTCAAACCTTGCCAATCGAAGTTCAATGTCTATATCATCTGCAAGAATAACACAAAAATGTACTTTAGAATCCATAATGTAATTTGAGAAAAGTAGATGAAAAGGTAAACAAAGAGAATTCTTTCTATATATTTTACATATCTTTTCCCTTTAGTTCCCTTGTCCCATAAAGCAAATATTGCACAAAACACTTCTTATTAGAGATAACTGTAAATAAAACTTGGGAGTAATATTGCATTCTTTTAATAATATTGTACATTTTCACTGGATGTCTGTTTCTATGAAATTTATGACATTTGATGATAAAGATGTAACTTAGAAAGTAACATTGATGTCTGAAACAGTTTAATTAACAAAGTGACTGATATGATAATTACATTTGCACAATATTTTGAAACAAAATGAAAAACAGGTGCCATGAATAAAAATCTTCTAATGTTGGATAACAATGGTAAAAACAAAACAATTATGAATATGTGGGTGTCAAAATACTAAATTGTGCAGTTTCTGTGCATAGGCAAATATAATATTCATTTACAATTTTTTGCACCTAGGGAAGAATATAACTAATTACCAATTTAATGACTTTATTATGGAATTTTTTTACTTATTTTTATTTTTTAATGTTAAAGTGAAAGAGAAGTTGATAAATAATTATCAAACACAGGGAAACTCTGTAAAAAAAAAAATTTTTTTTCCTGAAATGCATTCCCTACGGAGGGATTCGGTCAAAGCAGAACTTTTCACTCTGGGCTTAGAAAATTGTTCAGCATGATGAATGTACACTCATGAGAGGTATACATTCAGACAGATTTTTTTTTCACAATTGTAATAAATAATAGCATAAATTATCATCAATTTTATTATCATCAGCCAAAATGAATGTTAAGCATTACCTAACCATGATCATTGACAACTCATCTATTGTTTTAAAACTTTTTTTAAAGAAGAAGAAGATTTAACTTTCTAACATGCTAAACCTGCACTAACCTATATGACATGTCTAAGACACAAACAAAAATATAATTTTTTTTTTCAAAATCAGTTAGCATGTGGTCTATGATAAATACATGTGCCACCAGCCTATAATCCTAATAAATATTGAGGCATGTTTATATTTTAGGACAAGTGTATGTGTGTGTGTGTCACTCAGACTGTCACGCTGAATCAGCATATTTCTAGGCAAAGAGTGCATCTTTGCACATTCGCTACATGCAGTTGCGTGCGCACCGCGAACCGAGATGTCATTTTACAAGAATAATATAAAAAAATAATTATTTTTCTTTGGGTCACACTTGTTAATACACCATTATAATTACAGTACCAATTCCCAGTATAATTCAAAGTAGTTTCTTACTCTTTGCAGTATACAATTCTCTTTTTTTTAAGCACATAAAGAATGTTTTGTCAGCATAAAGATACACTTTATACTTACACTCAGTATAATTTGTCAATAACCACGAAAAAGGAGCTTTTGCAATCATTATTATAATGCACAAAACCCAAAAAGTAGAAAGCACCATCACAAGTAATATTCATGATTCATTATATCACAACTTTAAACATGAAACTGTCCTTATACATTAATGCAATTAATAAAATTGTTATTTAAACTTTTCTTAAACTGATAATCACAGATTTCTTAAAATGACAATAAAATACTAACTGAAAACACAAACATTGAGTCATTACCTTCCTCAGTTGGGTTAGGAGTGTTTGCAGCTTCTTCCATGCGCTTGCTGAGGCTTAATTCTTCAAACTGAGCATAAGCATCAAACACTTGGGTAAAATCTCTCACAGTTGTTACAGTCTGGATTGCTTCTTCATAAACATCTCTAGCCTGTGAATACAATTTACAAAATAAATGGTATACGAAGGTTCCATTTGATACAGAAAACACATGGTATTTTATGAAAAAATATTCCTTACCCTTTCGAACAGACCACTCCGCACATAATAGTCTGCCAAGGAATTCCACAAATGACCCAACTGATCTGTATACCTACGCAATCCTCCTCGTATGATGGCATCAACATTAAGAGACCTATGAGGAGGTAATGATACAAGAGTTAATACACGACAAAATTTGCAAATGCATGCATGAAATAAATTCTTGTAAACCAATTAACTTATAAGGGGTTCCAAATAATCATACTTCTAGTCAATAACATACACAAAATATACTCATAAAAAAATCTTAATAGCCACAAAGAATGAGTAACATAATTACATATTTAATTATGTCTTTTCAACAGTACACATTATGCTACCTATAACAATAGTGATATCTGAACTAGTTACATACTCAAGTGAATTTACAATAACAATTACCTTATACAACAATATATACAACACAATTGTATGTTTAAGATAAATGCTATATTAATAAGAATGATTATAAGAAAATAAATTAATATGACTGACACATTCAAACATACTTATGTATTTGAATGCATTGTTTGGAGGCATAATAAAAAAACATAAAATGAATTTATACTGTAAACCATCAGTTTTTTATGCTTTTTCCCTTCCATATAATAAAGTTTTAAATCGCTATTTCATAATCATCGGGCCTCATTTTTTATAATTGAAAATTGTTCTCCTGCCCATGAAACAAACCCACCCCTTTTCCTGGAATTGAGTACCCACACAATGGTTCCCATGCTTTTGAGATTCAGTCTACACTTGTTTCTTGTTGATAACATCTCCTTGAACATTCATCTGAAACATTTTCCTCACTACCTGCCATAAACCAACAAATCTCAATAAAGGTAAAAGTAATATTAAATGTTCATTCATTTAATTATTTCTCAGTTTTGAGATTGCACAAATATGTAGAGTTATTCTCTCTCTCATTTCTCAGTCATAATTATCATTATTAAAGCTATAACATCCCTATTCAGGGCAAAAACCTCCCACTCTGATAGAGTAACTCTCAAAAAATAACTTACCAGGCGATTCATAATTGACTCTCTCATAAGTGGCTTTACATAATTTATTAAGGGAAGCATTGATTCAATTTCTTAAAATCCAGTTATCATCAGACAGAAAAGTTATGAAAACTGAGCTATTATTGCAGAGATTATGCCAATATAGAGACAATTCATGACACTGCAATATATCGGGAGATTTTGGAAGCCAGAGCCCCAGCACCCAACAAGTTGTTACCATAGTGATATCAACAAAATCATGGTGATCATGAAAAACGCATCACTTTATGTGTGGATAAATGCATTAGTGTTTTGATATTATATTTTTAGTATCAAGAAAATAAGCAAAGGGAATGGAATGTGTAAGCAATAATGCAAAAGCAAAACTTTATGGGAGTTTTAATTATTAAAGATCTTCAAGACATTTCAACATACCTTTAGATAACTAGTTACGATTTCAAATATATAAATAATAATAATAATAATAATAATAATATTGTAAATAACATCGTTATTAGAAACCATAGAACTTCAAAAGATATTGTATATTTATTGAAATTTACATTTGCCTTTGATTTTTCAAAGTACCCAGTATTGTCTCTATAGTATTTGATTATCTCTTACATTTTAGAAAAGTTAATTAACAGAAGAACCTTAATCTCACCTGACTTTGTCTGGATTCTTAGAAATTAACTCACACAATTCATTCCATAATTGATGATTTGATTTTCCATGTTTTGAAACAAAATCATCTTTATTGACAACATATGCTAATTTAACAGCAGCTTCATCCAATCGTTCAATGGATATTAAATATTCAATATAATCCTCAGCATCTTCTGGACATAACTGAAAAGCAAGTAACCAGTATATAACATTACTGGTGAGCACCAAATGTAGAAATTCCGACAGAGTTTTCTTTCAAGAATAAAACTAGTCCAAATTTGAGATTTTTCAGGAGGCACCAAAAACTTCATAGCGTCAGCGGGCATAGTAATGAATTCATGATTTTTCCCCAGCTTATATCTTTCAATGTGTTTGGCACTTGCCAAAAGGCCAGCACATAGCTCTAATTGTAAGGAATAACTTAGTGAAATATCACAGAGTAAGGAATTTTGGACTTGTTTGGTTCTTAGATCATGATGTAGGCTTGTTTGGTTCTTTTAAGAAACCCCTCAAGTATAATATGCTTACCTTCAAATAACGTCTAAAGACACGAACAGCAGTTTCATGAATATTATATTGTTTTAAAAATTTGAGATACAATGGCCACACTCTGTGATGCTGAGTGATGGGTAAAGCTCGGAGAGCTCGATCAAATAACTGACGTGTTCGAGTAATTCGGCACTGACCCATAAGAAATTGACAGTAATCTAGCCAAATCCTTGGCATCTGTAAAAAAGTTATTATAGTTACTTTTTCATCTTTTAATTATCATAACTGAACATTAATATCCTTTTAATCAGTGAAAGATAATTACATTCTGGAGTCTCAACACACTAAGTATGGAGCTCAACATTCATATTCGCCTTTAATTCATCATTTACAAACGTTTTAAAAAAACAACAACAAAAAACAATAAAAACCATTTTAGGAAACCTCTCAGTAAATATATTCTACTTACCTTATGCATGAAAACTAGGGAACGTTCAAATGCATTATTTACATCTTCATATGATGGATCAGTGATACAACGTCCTTTGATCTGTTTTCGTCTTAACCGTAAGTAATTATACCATAATTTATAACTGAAATGTGAAAACAGTAATTTAGTTTATTCCTTTATTTAGAAAAAATGGGAGTTCTTACATACTGTTTTCCCTGAAGGCCACAATTAAGAGAAACAAATATAGCAAATTACCTTCCTGGAAGCTCTTTAAGAGCTCTTTCAAAAATAATATTAACCCTCTGCTTTGGTGCCCCTTTTTTGTGGTCAATGTACCTCAACCAGTGTTTAACAGAAAATGGATTTCTGAGAATTTCCTCTTCATACGGTAAATCATCTTCATTCTAGGAAGAAAATAAATAATAATAATAATAATGATAATAATAATTATAATAATAATCTTAGAAAAAAGCATCCATTTCTACTTACAAATATCACTTCTATTTCTTCCTGTTGGAATGTGGGCATGACAATTTACCGCAGTACCCCGTAAAACAAAAATTCCCAACACATAAACTGTTGTTTCTTTTTCACGCTATATCATCCATGCATTCAAATGGTTAAATGCTCAACGTCTCCACACAAGATTATGCGAATTTCGCACCGCTTCACCATACGAAAACAAACGTAACCAAACAAACCAATGCTCCAATCACTCAGATGTTTATAGAAAGCAGCACTGTGTGGATTACGATGGGCATATGTTATTTCAGAACTGACAACTTTGTAACTAAAAAATGAATACTTATAATTCTCAGATAATTGTCACACTCTCTTATTCAAAGTTTTTATCACTCATAAATAATCATCTAAAAAAGAAAAAAAAATATATTGTGACCTTCTTATAAAATGTCTAAACTTGGAAATTGACGTGCATTATTTTGATGTTTTCCAATCTGAAGATTGAGCGCTGGCGTGGACTTCCAGTTTTTGATGCTTTTGAGGAGGCCTGGAGGAGGCTGTAGGTACTGGTAGGCTCTCTGCTGGTAGGTGCCGAGTTGGGGTTGTGATGTGTGTAGTGTTGACAAATGAAGTGATGTATTCGTGAAGGTCAGCGTAAATCGTGTAAATGGCAATTCCGTGACAGATGTTATGAGTATTGTGTTTAGTCGGAAAAGGTTGTCGGTTATGTATTTCATTGCCTCTCTGATATAACAATGGTGTTCATGAGGCTAACTGGCATAACTCATCAGTGTCAAATGTCATTATCATGGATAGTTCTATAACTTGAATGTCGTAGAGGACGATTGTGGAGCGAGCAAAGGAAATCCAAGTTAAATTATCGAACAATGAATTCCTGCAAGAAAACAACCGAAGCAGTGAAGAATTTCGTGTTATATCTGTATAGCTTTAGCTGGCTTTACCATGAAAACATGAATAGGTTCAGTATTACCATAATATTTGCATCTGGCTTTGTTTTTGCGATATCTATCAATTTTCTTTCTGAGTATTTTAATATTAAGTGCATAGATGCACCAGATTTTTCCCCCAAGAAATTTTTTTCACCTCTACCAGATGAAAGCCTGCAAGCAACAGATGAAGGAACACTTGTTCTTCATAAACCTGATTCAGAAAGGGATGTCAAGTCTGCAGAAGCAAGCAGTAAGAAAAACGTGAATTTAAAATCAGTTTGTGCTTAGAATGGTAATGAGTTTTCAATTTCAATTTTCTTTTGATCTTTTAGGTTCAGAAGCTGTTGGTTCACTTCATGCTGCTTTGGAAATGAAAAAAGCTGGAAAGCATGACAAAGCTTTGAAATTATTTAAACATGCAATGGCTTTAGCACCAAAGCACCCAGATATTTTGAATCATTATGGAGAATTTTTAGAGGAGACACAGAAGGATATTGTTGCCGCAGATCAACTTTACTTCCGTGCTTTGGCTTATTCTCCAAGACATTCAGGTGCTCTTGCTAATAGAGAACGAACAGCTCGCATTGTAGAAGAAATTGATCGAGGTACATTAAGGAGAATCGATAGCAAAAGGGATAGGCTCTCTGCAATTCCTGATTCAAATGCTGCATTTCGACGTGCTAAGAAGGAAGCATATTTTCAGGTTTGTTTTCAAATTGAAATTGATATGTTAAATTTTGTCATAAGTTTAAGTTAAATGATGATAATTATACAAGTTATATTTGTTTAAAAACATTTATCTAGCTTTGTACACATTACGGAGGAGTCTAAAAAATTTGTCATCTGAATCACATACTGGAATATTGTTTGATATTTCTCTTGTGGGAATTTATGCTTAGCACTTTCCATAAAATCTGGCAATTTAATCTTTGCATTGAAAGTCTGTCAAGGTTTGTGGCATTAATCACCTTGACAGGGAATCAAATTCAAGTATCGTGATTTATGCTCAGTCATTTTAAAAGCAGCAAGATGGCCAATGGTCAGTTCGTTTTCATGGACCTGGGTATTGCTCTTGTGTGATACTCGGTTGTGATAACCTTGTCAATTTAAGTTCCTGTTACGTCAGAAATACAGAAAATGTCCTCTATAATTTGACCTTGCCATATGTAACAAGACATTTCAAAATGTGTTGTTATTGGCAATTGTACAATGAATAATATTTATAAAAGCAAACATTTTCTTTCCACCGGAGGAGATGGCAGTGTTCATTCCTCACTGGAAGATGAGATTTGGCACCAATCTGTGTTACATGTTGACTTGAGGGGTTTTTGACTCCAGGGACCTTCCCCAGCTGGGGTGAGCTCTTGGCTTCTAACATGTTTGGTAGGGTAGTACCTTGTAACTGAACTAAACACTGTAAAGAAAACATTGGCAGACTGATCAGTAATTTAATGGAGGTATTCCATTCCCAGGGCCAATCTTACCATCTAATTTGTCTAGTGAGTTACAGGCATCCAATCTTATTTCGGCTGAACTGTAGTATACGGTACAAACTAAGGAAGTCGTTTAAACCGGCACTTTGCGCCGTTCGGCGAAAGGGAAATCCACAGTGGAGGGTACAGGGGGTGTTTAGGGATTAAGAGGGGTATCTTGCCGGCGAAGCTGCTGCGCGCACACGCGGGTGTACAGTGTACAATGTGCCAATTTTAGCCCTTATTTCCAAGAATATTTTATTTTTAAAATTTTTGACTGGATAACAAAGTAGTGAGAATTGAGTTATATTTGTTACTTTATTTTCCATAAATTAGTAACAGCAAAATCTTATATTTTAGCACATATATCACACAGTTGGCATTGAGGGCAATACCATGACTCTATCACAAACTCGTTCTGTGGTGGAAACAAGAATGGCTGTGGCTGGAAAAAGCATAATGGAGCACAATGAAATATTAGGTCTTGACGCTGCATTGAAGTACATAAATGCAACCCTGGTGAACAGGTAAGTGCTTCTATAACATTTATAATGCATCAAAAGTTTCATATTATTGATCTGCATTTTTACTTTAATGTTGTAGGTTAGGTGCAATTACTGTGAAAGACATATTAGAAATACACCGTCGAGTCATGGGATTTGTTGATCCCGTTGAAAGTGGCTCGTTTCGACGCACCCAGGTTTATGTTGGAGGCCATGTCCCGCCTGGTCCACATGAAATTCAGGTGCTGATGGAGGAGTTTGCTCAGTGGCTGAACTCTGAACGAGCAGCTCGGATGCATCCTATTCGATATGCAGCTTTGGCTCATTATAAGCTGGTTCACATCCACCCTTTTACAGATGGGAATGGAAGGACATCAAGACTGCTGATGAATACTATACTTATGCAAGCTGGATATCCACCTGTGATTATTTTAAAACAAGACAGACATAAGTATTATCGTTACTTAGAAATGGCAAATTATGGTGATATTCGACCATTTTTTAGATTTATTGCTGAAAGTGCAGAACAGACATTAGATCTCTTCTTGTGGGCTACTAGTGAATATGCTACTGAAATTCCTGCAATAGAGCAATATCATCATTCAAGAACAATTATCATTGATGATGAAAATAATGATTTCAATAATTATGAAGAAGACTAATTTGACTGATTTTATGTATTATTTTTTAAACAAACGCTGTGATTACAATGTCTCAATAACATAGTAACCCTGCTGGCAGTGTTACTCTTCCCTGTATGTATTTATATATTTATTTCAAATCCAGTTTGTTGCTGAAGAATGAATAAATAAATGTGTTAAAGAAATTATGAATTAAAATAGATTTTCTGAAATTTGTATTCATTCAGCGAGTCCCTTTCACTACGTATGATTGAAACACTTGAGTGTCTCTGGCAAGGTGTTTGGGGAGGTGGACAAGTCCCTCCTTCCTCAATATTTTGAAGTATTTCCAATAGTTTTATTCAAATTTCATTTGTTTTTTAAGTAAAGACCTTACAAAATAGTAATGTATTATGCTGATAGCAGTAAAATTGAAGTTGCGAAACAATAACATAGTGTACACAAGTTTTGATGTGCTTCATTTATTAAAAAATCATTATGAACATGCTTTGGATATGGCAGATAGGTAGGGCTACCCTCATGAGCTTACATGCAAATGTCTGTTTCTAATTTAAATTCGGTGAAACTTCGATTTTAAGTTTTCCCGGAATTTACATTATAAAATAGTACAGGTAAAACATCTATATGAGCAATGTAAGTTTCTTTTTTCGATTTTACGTCTGACTTGTGACGTACTACTGTGTAGTAAAACCCCCTTATTAAGACCTTTTCACGACAGTACTCTTAATTTGGACAGGCATTCTGAAAGAAAAGGCGGCACTTTTGGGAAGGGTGGTGGAAATACTACATATAAACGTTTTGTGTTTTGCTATTTACAAATTTACCCAATACCGAAACTGCCGTACGTGGACGACAACGCGGAGGGTGAACAAACATACCTCTCAGATCAATCCAAGGCAGAATTCTTTGCCGACATGCTTGAAGAGAGGTTTATTAACAACACTACACAGGCAGTAGATGAAACAGACATCACCAATACACTTACACATTGTGCAGTAGAAGTTTCGACTATTATCCGCGCACGTTTTCTTGAGCCCTCGCTTCGCTAGATGCGAGAGGAGTGGGTAGTGGTTGGTTATTTTGACAAAAGGAATTTTACGTCGAATTTGTGGTTCATTTTTCAATGCAAAATAGTTTTTAATACACGGGAGCGAACATTCATCGTTACCAGGTTTTGTCTACAACTCAAATTTTTTAAATTTATTTCTAATGTTGAGAATTAAGTGGGGTAGATATTCCGGGGCCCAAGAAAACTTGCGGATATAATACCATTACATGCCAATTTTTAACTCGCAAGTATCTCCATGCTTCCGAAAGCCGGTAAGGATCTTACGATTGCTGCGAGCCACAGGCCAATCAGTCTCCTGCTTGTTAATGGAAAGATATTCGAGAGGGTTCTGCCAACAGCTCTCTTGCGGAACCTCATCCAAGATTAACTGTTTTCAATCACACCGGGCCATTCCGCTTCACTACAAGCACTTTGCATGGCTCAGCAGATTTCTGCTGATCTGTTACACAGGATGTACCTGACATATATCTCGACATGGTGCAAGCCCTAGACAAAGTGCCACACAGTACAATTATCGCAAAACTTCGGCACTACCTCCCACAAAGTCTTACGGCTCATAGTACCACATAGCACGCCCTCCGTTTCGGAAACTGCTAAAAGTCCTAAGGAAGGAACTTGATCGAGTCCTTTACTCAATACTTGAGACGGCTTTCCTTTAACGAAGCCTAACAAGCCTTTCAAACCAACGAAGCTCAGGCAACGCTAAAACAATTAGCTAGGCACGTCCTCACTATAGGACAAAGAAGACAAGCACTCCCATATGATATTCTAAGGGCGTAGTGTAACACAAAAGCCGATTGGGTTATTGACTTAAGTCCGACGTGAATCCAGCCCCTTACACATAGCAGTAAGACGCGAAATGCGTGTGAACTGCAACACCAAAAAACACAAACCTTACGCTAAGCCGAAAAAAACTTGCAAATTTGAGTATATCTTGCTGAACGTTCTGAGTTGGTTGGTTGACTAATTTTCCAGGACTAAGCCCACATGTTTCGTTTCGAGTTTGTCACCAGTGATAAGCCAGTTCCTAGTTTTTCCTTTCTCGCTACCGCGTACTCATTAGAGAGAAAATCATGCATTGTTGTCGTCACCTAAAAGTAAGGATTAAAATGCAACTTATGAAAAATGTCAATATTGCACGTTAACATGTGCTCACAAGTGACGTAGGGTATTTTTGTATCCTTTTGTATTGGCAACAATAATTGCCAACATACCCAAAATTATCCGATGTGCATTGTAATAATAAGAATAGTGACATATTTTTGATTTATGTTTGCAATGAAACAATGACCACTTCCGGAGAACCCGCCAACATTTTAATTTTGCATTGTGATCTTCGCCCGTAGTTCGAAGTGTGTTGGTGCCAATCTTTTGATAAAGTATGTTTAGTAAGTTAACGTTTTTAAATTAATTCACTTCGTGTTGTAGGCCATCCACAACTGGCAAATGAAGACAACTTTTAGTGATACTTCATGCTGGAAATAAAAATGGGCTTATTCAAGGTGAGTTGCTATATATTTTTGTGTAATAACATTTTTAATATGTTTTTCAATTTCTTTTCTGCGATGATAAAATTTCAAATTCAATGTATTATTAGAATTTCAAGTGTATTAATAATTTCCTTGGTGCATGATTTTCTCTAAAAAATATATCAATGGAAATATATTCAATAATGCTGCGGGGAAAAGCGGCAAATTTTTGTCACAAAAACTATTGCCGGGGCTGGTAACGAAAAAGAGGGTAAATCTACATGCTAAATTTTGTGAAGAAAAAAAAAGTCCTCTAACATGTGATGTAACCCGAATCCATGTTTTGAGGGTTCTTGAGACCGAAAAATCGATTGAGAGCAAAACCTGTTCACCTTAGAGAATGGTGCAGGTTTCATGTCCGTAGAAAATTCTGCTTTCTCGAATATTGCAAAAGTTCAGGCTTTTTCGACATCTTCCTACAACTACAATTATGAAAATAGAGATTTTTTCCCCTTAATGAAATCTGTTTTAAAGATAGATTTTGAAGTAAGGTCATGTACAATTTTTGAAAATTTTCTCGTAATTTTGCTTAGGGCTGTTTTAGCTTCACTAGTTGTATTTATTTCTTTTCAATTGAAGTTTTAATGAATTATTTATTATTTTTAGAATTGCAATGTGTTTTGGAACTTCTGTGGAACAAAAATAATTTCCTCGATTTTACACTTTTATTTACAAGTCCCTAGAGTGGCATAAAATAGGGCTTTCACTGTATAGTGATTTATGATGGAGCATCAGCTGTGATGGAGTTATCCAATCAGGAGCTTCCAATACCAAAAATTGGAGTTGCAATGAAACTGTTGATTAGATAATTGCATCCAGCTGATTATCTGACGTAAGTCAGTATATTTAAATTAGCCAACAGAGAGGAGCAGCAAAAGCACATTTCTTCCAACCACTACAGCAGCAATCCCCACCCACACAATCGTCTCCATGGCTGCCAGCATTTTCTAGGTTTATTGATAGATAGATATATTTCTTATTTCTGTTGGTAGGTTTATACAACCTGGTGCCAGAACACTACAATTCACATATTGCATTTAATATTTAATATTTTATTGCATATTAATACAATGTAGTTTTGAATTATTTTAAGATAATAATAATAATAGTAATAATAAAATGATAATAATAAAGGCAATAATAGCATAAACTCTTCATTTTATGGTTGCACAGATATTTTGACTAATAAAAACACTTTTTAAATACTCTGCGTTCCATTTCACTTCACATGTGCGCTTCACATCTCTAACTACTTCTGTATTGCACTACACTTCACAATACGTCATGACACTCCAATTCAACTACTACTTTAAAAATAATTATATATTTAATACACAATGAATTTAATAGTAATTATCACAATACTAATAATAACAATAACAATAATAATAAAATATTGCAGGAGTTTGTTATTATATTCATGAATAGCTGTGACATTACATCACCTTTTTCAATCTATTGGAGGCATCTTGTTAACTTCAATATATTGGTACAAAAATTGTTGGCTTCCACCAAATCTCTGTAGAAGTACACAATTCCTTTAACTTTCCCCTCAAATTGTACATGCTAGAAGTGCCTGTAGATTAGTCTGCGTCATTCTTTCTATTCTAATTAATATAAAGGTTCAGGTGCGTCTCAAAAAGCTTGATCTGTGAGAAGCAAAAGACATAATATAATAAATCTTTAAAATTTTGAAAGTTTCAATCCATTCTCAACTCGTTCAAATTGCTAAGAAACTGTGGAAATAGATAATAAATAATGTAAGAAACAATGAAAACCATTTGTGATGGTCAATTAAATAAACATATTAAAGGAATATAACAACAATGACTGCAAAATATGAAATAAGTATTAAATCTTTAATACTTGGGTGTTGGGGGCGGGGGGGAAGTATGCATCAGGATTTAGAATAGCATGTAAATATTTTAGAATAAGAGAAGAATCTTATTGGGAAATAATGAGAAAGCTATGAAATTAAAAAAATTCAAATTATTAAAATTTTAGCAGCCTTAAGACTTCCAATAATGTGTTAATAATAGTTATCTAACAAGTATCTAAAAGATGCCATTATGTCCATAATGTACTTGATAATTCATGAATGCGATAATGACGAAATGAGTATGGGTCACCCCACAAAACTTTAATATACGCTCTCTTTATAACAGTGTGTAGCATACACAAGTAGTGTTAGTACCTTAAATAATAAAAATATCCACTAAAAACAGTCCCTCTTTCATTTGGGCCCGTCTACTTTGCGGGCCTTGCATGCTCGAACGTTTCACCACTGGATAGTGCAATGTTTAATTACTAATGACTGTATATAAGTCTTTTAGCAAAGTGTAATGTAGAACGTTTTCTCTTATCTGACACTTTTTTTACTGTGTTTCTTTCACTTCGTAGAAAGAGAAAGCTATGTAATGATGCAGGGGAAACAAATAAAAAAGAAGGTAAAAAAATACTTTTCTTGAAATTAAATTAAAAATTGAAAAGGTGTATTTAATCCCAATGTCTTTAATCTAATCCTAATGTCTTTAATACTAAAAACGCACAAAATAAATAATCTACTTGAAAGTAGAATTAAAAATGAATAAAAAAGTCAAAAACAAAATTGAAATGCTCAAAACTGGTCTGCAATATTCCTCAAACGTCATTAATAAAGTTTTAAAAACTATTTCCACAAAATTCAGCAAAATTGATTTACTTCCGTGAAAGTTTTCAAAGGCATGATTTTTTGTGCAGAAATTGAGGAATAGTGTTCACACAGCCGCAGCATTGCCAAAGCAGAGCCACTCGAGTTTCACTTTTCTTTGTGCTGAAAACAGTTGACCTTTTTCTTTTACTGAAACCATTCCAAGATAATGAATGAAATCAATTTACAATTGCCAAAAACATATACTTATAAAAATGATGTCCTTAAAAATAATAATTTGTTTAGATATGAAAATACCTTATTTGGAAACATTTGCCACATCTCAATAAGTGCTACCCTGGACAATAATTGCCCATTTAGCTCTCATATTCCTTCTGGGTGTTGAATAAAAAGTGCTTTGTAATAAAAGTTCTTTCCTTGAAAAAATTAGTTTCAGAAAATGTTTCCAAATTGTTTGAAATTAACATTGTTGTAGTGAAAATTTAGTTTTGCATTTTAATTTCAGTCCTAAAATGTGAATTCTTCAAATTTGTAGCCAAATAAACCACATTTCCGTTGAGAATTTTTTCCTTTTATTATGTCATGGTCCCTTGTCATGGTCCCAGTTTTGTTAAGAATTTTTTCTTTTACCTTTAGTCTGCTGGTAGGTTTGTTAACAAGCAATGCCCTCAGTAACTGCAATTCAACAAAAATATTATGAGATTCATTATCATTATTTGCCCTGGCCAATATTAACAAAATTTTAATTTCTAGTGACAAAAGCTAAAATACCTAATGTGCTAAAGAAAAATTCCAAAGAAAAATCAATTGTAAATAATGGGTGGTAAGTAGAAGAAA